CAATAATCCAATTACTTTAGGATTATAAAAATATTACAGTTGAGATTACTTTCTAAATTTCACTATTTAGAATTATTTGAATATTATTCCCAAAACTATCTGAATCTCTCTCTGGGTGGAGAGAAAACTCACTCTTTTTATAATATTGAATTTGGCCAGTAAGTTGGTCAGTAAGTTGACCAAAATCTTGATCAGTAATTGTGCCAATCAGTTGGCCATTGAGTTGGTCAATCAGTTGGCTACTAAATTGGTCAGTAAATTGGCCAGTAACTGGGCCACTATGATTTACATTATTGATTTATATAATTTGTATTACACCACTAGATAAATAAATACTAATAATTAAATATACTAAATACACTAAAATAACTATACTAATAAAATAAATACAAATAAAAATAAAATAAAATAAAATAATAAGAAATTATGAAAGTGGATGAAACTCATGGTAACACCATCTAACAACTATACATGACACAGAATGCCTTACCTTATTACATTGTCTCTAACCTGCTATCAATGAAGACTGACATTATGTTAGGATAACTAATAATGATATCCCCTTAGCGAAGTGAAATCTGAAAGGTCCTAATATCAAGACATTGTCACCAGTGGTCCTTGGTTTCCTCAAGAATTATCTAATGGAGTGACTTAACGGTTCTTTTAAGAAGTTTATAGTCCTTTCCCAAAGGTAAAACTGTTGTTTTATCATTTTAGAAGGTACTACTGATTCAGTTATTTTAGAAAAAGAATCAGACCTTTCATCCAATTTATTTCAATATCTTTTTAAGTTCATCAATTTTTAGTATTAATATTCGTCCATTAATCATCTTTTAATTTCATTAACTTTAAATATTATTTCCAATTATTCAGATTAATTATTATTCCAAGTTCAGGTTTTATAATAGTTTATATTTAATTTTATTAACTCAGGAATAATAATATTATATAATTATACAATCAAGTATTTAATCCTATAATATCCATTATTCCTTTGTTAACTACATAATATATTATTTAATAATTATTTCTATAATTTATATTTATATTTTCAATATTTATTTTTATATTTATATTTCTAATATTTATTTTATTAATTTCATTGCAGAGTAATTTTTACAAGTG